GATCGTAATAGTCGCGTAGAGACAATAAAAAACAAGAGCCAAAGTGTAATAGCGATAAATACGCTAAAGTGTGTTTCACGGGTTAATAAAAACCACTCTAAGTGATCAATTTTGGAGTATTTTAATACTGATAAAAATACAAAAAATACTGACTAAAAATACTGACTACGTAATGCGCATCGACGCCATTTTGTGCAACAAAGCGTAATGGGAGTTTGTAGTCCTCGCCTGCGTGGCGGATCTAGGGGAGGGGGAAAGGGGGAAATGGAAGGGGAGTTCCGCCTCCCCACCCCCTCCACTTCCGCTTTCCCCCTTTAGCCCCTTCCCTAGAGCCACCACGCAGGCAAGCAGTCCTCGCACTTCTTCTCCGCTAAAACAGTTCTTACTAAGCTTTTTGTATTTCCTATTTCTGCGCAGATTAACATTTGCCAAGGGACATGTATGTCCGCCTCGACACCTACTGGTGGTAATTATGAACAAGTKTCCATGTGTACCTGCTGTAGACAGACTCAGACWAAGACCATCTCCGTGGGCCTGTGGTGTCAAAAAAATCCGAGCTCAAAGATGCACAGATATTTTCACCCAATTGAAAGTGCTACTGAATGTTCGTGTACTCTGTGTTAATATATAATTATGTACTTTTAAGTTTATAAATAGTGGACATGACTTTGTTAAGAGTTTCTTTTCTTTCTCGTCTCATTTTTTCCCGGTATAAAAAAGTTACTGGACAGCTTGGTWAAACAATAAAAAAATAGCGTGTCTTTGGAWCGTGAATTTGTAATRCAACAACAAATAATATATAAAGATGCTGAAAGTTGAGAAAATTTTTCATTTATTGGTAAATTCTCTAACACAAATGTACAACTAAAATTTGCTTAAGTCAATCTAAAGGCGCCTTAAATGATTCTTAAGCGAGTTATATTCATAAATGACCATCAATGCTAAGAGAGTATAAATAGGGAATCATTTATGCGCTCTTGCCATCACTAGCCTTTCTGACTCTTTTGCCAGGTTCGTCTCTCATTTGTTTTTTGTCACTTGATGTTTTGCAAATCATGAGACGACCGAATATGTGTTTTTACTGATAAAGAAATGCCACGGACGAATTCAAGTTCTACTTTTCGTTTTCAACTGACCTTGGATTATTTTTTTGTATTTGAACTGAAAGCGGTTTTTTCATATACTCTAAATCAGCTCATTCTAAAACAGTTTACTTTATATAGGCATTGGTTATTCAAATCAATCATTTCTTTATTCAGCAACGTCAGAAATCAGATCGTAATTTGCCTAGAATTGTAGGGGAAAAAAWTCAAATTTCTCTAACAGAAAGAAAAAAAATTAAAAAAATACCTACTGTATAATAATAATTATTATTATTTATCAATCTTGTGAATTCAACAATCAAACATTGTCTTATAAAATCATCCATTAACAAGAAATTATCTTCTTGGCCAAGTCAGGACTTWGAGCCTGCGATGCGGGCAAGATTCTGCAATGGTCGGGTTGGAAGTGGGCTGTAAAATACAAACAAAAAAAACCTTARGTTTTGGTATCAAAATAAGRTTAGTAACACCTTAACATGGAAATGAGATATCACCTAGAGGCCTTCATTTGAAATACTTTCACATTACCTTTTCTGTTTGAATGCAGGAGCCTTAACGAGTTCCTTGTATTGCTCACTTCGCAGAAATCTGCTGTAACTGTCCGATTTCATCAGCTGGAATATATGGTCCTGMGCWGCATCGAACATATACCTGCCAGGATCTTTTAGGTTGAGCTCTACTTCTTCATGAGTTTTACAATCCACATTAATTGGCGATGTAGCGTCTTTTGATAAGTATTCACTAWAACCAGTATCAAGTTTGGAGCGGMAATTAGTTAACTGTTTTTGTGGCGATCAACACAAGCTGTATGTGGTGAAAAASAAATCYATTGTGCAATAATTTAACTTACTTAAAAATTTCAAATGCTTTTTCTGGTACGTGTTTCACGGGTGTGGCTTTGAGCTGCTCGCAAGCTAACCARAATCTAGACGATAACACATYAAATCGGTTAATCTTAGAGATAAATGTTGGTAAATGATGGTAAAGCGAACCGGCTAGATACAAAACAAAGTTTTATTTCTTAAAACATTATCAAACTATTKAAACTTTCCCCTTAATTTGAATTATGACTATAATTTCGACCACCATTGCCAATCATCACTAAGTATTTCTTTGTTTTCATAATGGTATGRCCGRTACTCCTTGGTTTCAAAAARAAATTAAAGTGAACATATATTCAATGTTGTAACAAAAAGATATTGTTACCCTAAATTTTCTGCGCTAAATTCCTTCTCGAGGAATCTTGTAAAATGTCTTCTTCCAAGTGGATCTTGAAGAAGTTCAGACAAAGAGAATCCCCATCGTTTGACTCTCTTGGGAGGAACATATTGTCTGCAAAACAAGAAGCTGCGGTAATTGAATCTCTACTGCCCAGTAAGAACTACACTTAAAATAAAATAAAAAAATCAAAGCAGCTTAATTTTTCGAGCAATTCCTGCAAGTACTTGCGCTCTGCAAGTGCGGCCGGGCGCGTCGCAATTTCTACGTTTTCCCGCCTTTTTTGTCGCTTGCAAGATTAATAACCGGAGTGACAAAAAAGGCGGGAAAACGTAAATGAATTGCGACCGACACGCCCGGCCGCACTTGCAGAGCGCATGCACTATTAAAATTATAAATAACAAGTCAACAACAGTTTTGTTTTGAAGAATGTGCATAAAAAAAGGAGAGTGCTTTAAAAAATGTACAACACGAATCTAATAAACATTGTATCAAAAAAAAAWTTATCAATATACTTACAAAGATTTATCTTGCTCCCATAATGTGATATCATCTGTTATCCATGGATTAGAAGGCTCGGGGCATGACACAAACGAATCGTACTCTGAATATTGTTCATATCTTTGAATTAAACTGGAAAACAATGAAAGATGTCAGTAAAAAAAACACCAAATCAAACATATATCCATTTAGATAAGAAMCAAATATACAGAAAAAGCMAYGTGAAAATTTTATTTCAAGCGACAAACTCATAGYCTACGTTCGCCTACGTTGCATCCCGGAAATCTTCGAAGATAATTCAGGATGTAACGCAGCTGTGTTGGCACAGGAGGACCGACAATAAAACAGACTGAAATCCAAATCCAAGWATTTCTTTAATTCCTTACTTTTCTGAGGCTTGAGATGTTTTCATCCTCCTTCTATGAAGTTGCTCTTTGAGTTCTTGTACCTATAACACAAGATTTTTATTTAGTAATTTTATACCAGAAGTGAAACATGATTCTTAGAATTATAAATTTACAATGTTTAAAGAAAAAACCTATTCCTTTCTGTAATGCTTTATACTGCGCTTTCTCTAGTTAAAATTTCACACTGACGATTTCRATGGTATTGCCAATTTCGATTTACAATCAATTTTACATACCTCACATCTCACTTCATCAAGAGCAGTAAAGTGAAATGGTGCTGCTGGTGAAGAGCTTTCTARCACTGACATACCAGTATGAAATAATTTGGCCTGTCAAAACAAATGTAGTGATACCAAAATATAGACACATATAAAATGCAATCTCATTAGCACTTTTAATTAATATTTAAGCTAAATTTATTGAATGGACATAAAAATATTTTCATTTTATCCCAAGTTCTTTATGGACATGGGATGTTGGGACATTTTGAGGCAAAAATACCTTTCGTCTTGTATTGGGAGAAACATCTGTTTTGCAAGCTTTCTTGATGTCCACCTCTGTGACWGAGACACATCCAGGCTGAAAGAATATGAACATCTAATTTAGGTTATAGTTAAGAAAAGTTAACAGAAGAGCTTGAAGCAAGTCAGTAGTTGCTGATACATGTTACACATGCATCATATTGCAGCAGATGTTGATGTCCATGCTTATTGCTCTTATTGTGTTTTGGACTGTTTTTTAAATCAATCATGTTTCTCATTTGAGAAAACTTACAGGTGGTCTGTGCACATTCCAGAAAGCTCTTTCTTGACTATCCAAAATTTGTCTTTCCATTTTATCTCTTTTCTTGTCAACCCTAGATATAAACATGGTGAAAAAAAGGAATAAATGATGAGGAAATATAGAGTTTACAGCAAGGCCTTAATTTTCCCACTGCACTTCATAGTTTTAAACTAGTGGTCAGATAAGTTCTAGCTTTGCTTTTAATTAATAATATTTTTAATTCTTTGTTATCTACACTGTATTTCTTTGTACATACTTAGCTTGAGCTTCGGCTTGCATGAAAATAAAATCCCATTTCCACGATAATATTCTTTGAAGCTTTGCTAGATTTTCCTGTGAAGGAAGTAATCTGCTAGTAYTGTAGTCCTACCTGTATCAATATTTCAATTGAATGTCATTTAATATAATACATTGTCAAACTTACAGCTTCATAATCATCAAGTTCTAGCCTTGATTTGTTTTGCATGGTTCTTTTGCATAGATAAACAGCTGCAAGAGAAACAAAATATCATATAAAAGGCAATTAGCATCATAACAATRAATATGCTCAATGCTATCTAGTAGTTGTACTATAGTTACAGTGATGCAAGAGAAAATGATTAAAGAAGATCTTAAAGCTCAAAAATAACTCAATATGCAGTGTGCTTACCATAGTCTATATTTTCTGGCTCCCAGTAATTTGATAACCAAAAGTATGGTGTCTGGTCAAAAAAAAGTTCAAAAAGAAATTTAAAAAAATCTAAATACAATTTAGCTATCTCAAAACAGAGTTAAATATTTCATATATCACCTGAAACCTGTAGTAAGAACCGTCATCTTTGACCATTAAATGATGGTCTGTTATAGAGAAGACATATCCATACGCTGCTAGCAGTGACGCAAGATGAACACCCTCACCTAATGAAAAAAAGCAATATCATTTCACTACTTAATGGAACATATAGRGCAAAATAATGAATGGATGGACAAATGAATGGAAAAATGAAGGAATGAATTTAAGAATAAACATAAAAATAACTGAATAAAAACATTGATGGACCACTGGATCAATGAATGAGAAATGGTTGGATAGATGGAAGGATGAAGAAAGAAACAAAGAAAAAATGATGATACAATGAAAAGATTGATTCCAAAGACTTTACCATACCTCTATCTTCAATCCCTAGATGTTCTACCATCCAATCAATAAGCTCTGATCCTAAAGAATGTTCAAAATATTCCATTTCATTTTTCAAAACTCAAATTTCATTAATGGCTTAACAAAGTTCCCATAATTAAATGATGATAATTGTACTCCAATGTTTTGAAATTTGCATTTATTGCATTGCATAAGTCCACTAAAAATTGTAACAGTCTCTTTTATTTACCGTTTATAAACCATCTAACATTAATAATAGCCAAACAATGTAGTATACACATGCAAGTGCTTAAGGAAATTGAGACATGAAATAATTTACTGGGAGAGAAGATGTGATCATACCTGTTAAAACACTAGGAATTTTGGACATAAAGCTTTTAACAGTTCTAATTGCAACACCATTCTTTTCATCTTGCATCATTTGGATGATTTTTTCCATCTAAATATAGTGATGCAAAAGTCAGTAAATATTGCTCAGAGTTGTCAACCCCTGGATTTTTGGAGATTTTGGTTGCCAAGTGACAAAATGTGCAAGACATAAAAACTGTTTTGCCCTTCCAATGCAATTTGGCTAATATTATTTGGTAACTTATGGAAAGAGGAATGAATAATGTTTTGGTGACTATATGGGAGATTTGAGCTTTATTAGTTGGTAGGCCAGGAGATGAGGCCCAAAATCTGAAGACTAATTCATTATCTGAGAGAGTTGTAGCCACAAGGTAAACCATCGCTACTCCTCAATGTTATGAATATTCTCAGAAAAAATGCAATCTCTTATAGATACTGAATAAAATGTTGTTAAAATTTTTCCTAACCCTCCCCTCTCCAAGCAATCAAGTTTCTTGCTATTTTGTTTCTCCCAACAGAGCCTTATAACATTCAATATTCCCTTATATCCATAAAAAAACTGATTAAAAAAAATCAAAATTCTTGAATTATTTAAAGCTCTTGGGGCTAATTGTATGAAGGAAGAATAGTAATATCAACTGGATAAAATAGATCCTTATCCAACAGGGACTGGTTGTACAAAAGATGAATAAGCAATATCCACTGGATAAAATACATCCTTATCCAGTAGATAAAATCTATAAGCAAAATCTATTCTGTAGAAAACCTTAATCAACTCTTCACACAACCAGACCTTATGGATAGGAGCATCAGATAATGACAACACAGGTATAATATTAGCTGTCCTTATGCATTTTTAAGTTGCCCCCACTGTTTTTAGCTGTCTGGCAGTCATTAGTTTTTAATGGATACGTCTGTGTAATGAGAATTATATAAAACCATTCGTAAGCTTTGAACAAATTTAGACAAAATGTTTGACACTCAAAGGATAACCATGATTTGGTTTGAGAGATTAAAAGTGTTACATATTTCAAATGGAATAATTAGATACTTAAGTGGGAGAATGAAATCTGTAAATGACTGTCGTAGCATGCATGATTAACCAAAGACATAATATAAATTGCCTGTCATTAAAATACATCTGCATGAATTACAAGTCCATTCGCTGTCTTGAGATTCCAGCATCTCTAGTTGTACAGTGTTGTCATCTAATTATCATCCCGCCCCCAAGAAATCCCAAAATGCACCATATATACAATATTTTTAAGATTTAGTTTTTTCAGAGCACTTATACTGATTAAGTTGTTAAAAATAACATAAAGACTATTCGATGTGTAGTCTTATTTGAAGCCGCATACTAAATGTAAAAGATCCTGATTATGAACAGTTTTGTCGCCTTCAACAATAAATTAAATTCTCGTAATTTTTAAAGTAAAAATCYGCAGAATTCCTAACTAAAAAATGCAGCAAGATTATGCGGAAGATGACATGTAATTTATCTTCAAAAGTCAAATGGCGCTGGAGATTGTCAGTCCGTCATCTCAATGGAGCAATTTGAATGGAAATGTGTGTTTATTTCGCAACGCATTGGTCCCGCTTGATCTTTGCGTTTGGTCTCATCCTAAGGAATTCCTAGACCCACTAACAATTCATCTGCTTTCAATGTTTGTACATTAGATTGTAAAATTATCTCTAAGCTTTTTGTGTGTTTAGGCATTGGACAATGCAAGACGAAACCGCAACCAAAAAGTACAAGTTTCAAGCTGAAGCAGAACTTCAGGAAAATATTCAAGAATCGAGAGATTTTCTGCTTTTCATATATTAATAAATTCCTAAATCACTGACCACAACAATAATTTTCAAGACAAAAAAAATCGTACCTTACTACACACCAGTCCATGTGGAGGTTCTTCATGCTCATGATCTCCTTCGGTGTTTTTCATTTTTGCCATTCTTACTTGAATTGTTCTCGCTTAGCTTAGGCGAGGCAAGCTTCGTGTTTGGCCCATGGTTTTTAACATAAAACTAGCATCGATAGCGTCGGTGCAAAGAGTAAATACAAAATACTTGTAATCATGTCAAAACAGGCAAAAGGCAAATACTTTGACTTGAGGGTAAGACACAACCCATAAGCTTGTTCACCGTCAACTTACAGCTTTCGAGTCCAGTATGGGCGAATYACAATAACGAAATGAAGCCTTGATGGCAACAAAGTATCTCTGAGAAATGAGATTTTTCTTAGCTCTCTCTAGAGTCAATTTCAATGTAGAATCATTTCACAATTACCCGATCAGCGGTGTCTTCCTTGTTTCGTATTTACACAAACTGAAGCATTATGGGTAAGTACTTGAGATCAGACACAGGAAACCCGCACAAAATGCACTTCGGTCTTGCATCTCTTGCAATACCTATCTTCAGAGCATGTCAGAGTCTTTCAGAGATGACCAGAGATGGCTTAGTCTTCGCAGCCGTTAGGAGGTTCGTTCCCTGAACGAACGACTCAGTCCTAACGGCTGCGAGAGGAGACTAGAGATGGCTGGGATGGACATTTCTTTCTTTTGTTTAAATTTTACTATGGTTGCTTTCCCTCCTCAAAAATGTAAATAAAATGTGTGTATTTTTATGTATTAATTATTGTGAATTTGTGCAAAAACTAAGATTTCTTAAACTCCCGGGGGGGGGGGGGGGGGAACTCCCATATATTTGCTATACGGGGACGTGCCGCTGGCCAGGGTATTGTTTTTGGCCTTGCTGTCTTTATAAACAGGGTATACATTTCACCCGAAATTGTCTTAACCAGGCTCTACAATTTAGATAAAAGACCGATATAATTTTTTTGTCCTTCTTGGACAGGGTAATATTTTCATAAAAAACATCATAGGAATAGTAGAAATACCGTTTCACTGTCCCAGGTTTAACGTGTTGTCAAAAACTTCTTATTGTCTTTGATGGATGTCAGTATAATTGCAGTTTTGATGGTTGCGGCGTAGATAGCTATTCCTTATTTTTCCGATTTGTATTGAACAGGGTATGGATTTTTACTTTTTAGTGTCTTAAACAGGGTCAGGGATTTAGACCGCTAGCGGCACGTACCTATCCAAAATGGAGTTGAGTAGCCCCCCCCCCCCCCCCCCCCCCCCCCCCCCGGAAAAAAACTATGGTTGTATATGTGTAATCGTAAGGCGAAACTTGTTGATTGAATAAACACGGTATTTTATTCCAGAAAACAAAACTTTTGCTAGAATATTTATAAACTTTATATTATATCATTTAAAATAACCTGCATTTTTTTCATACACGTGTCAGTACTGCATGCGCCTTTAAAAATGCAGAATCGTGTAAGGCCTAGCTCGACACATTTCAGTATTTTTGACACGAGTACAAAACTGCAAAATAACTTTTGAAGTGTTATATCTTTCAGTAAAAACTCATTTCAATTCTTCAGGTGAAGTTCTGTTTTCCCAGTCCAAAGTTTCTTGTGTGATTGTTTCTTGATTGACTTGCTTGCRTATTGAATCAAGATTTAATCGGTACAAAAACTATCTTCAATGTGGTCAAGGCAAATAAACCCATAAGGAGCAGTCGACTCATCTACCATTCTAACTTGAAGTTCTTCCCCTTTGAATTTAGTGACGTCAAACTCATTCTGTTTCATACAAACACATTTGACCGCATTTGTTGCCTTGGCAACTACGGATCCATTTTTTACCAGCAGTTCGAGCTTTATATTATTGATGGAATTGCCTCCACCAATCAGAAACTTTAGTTTCTTTCCTCTGATCCTAAACGGCGGTGAGGTTGCAGTTCCGATATGTTGATCTCCTTGAAACTCACCGGGTGGAAAAGATGGACTGGGTCGATACTCATACGTTGATATGGACCAGTTTCCTTTCAGGTTGGAAGAGATTCTCTGTCGATATAGCGAATTATCGCCGTATGTTGGTTGGTCTTTGAATGCTGTTCCGGTTAAGGTCCAACCGTCTAGTTTTCCCGTTTCAAAATCAAACAAGACGCATTCTAAAGAGCAAAACATGTACACGACGTGAGCCATTTGTTTAAGTCATTTTGATTGTTCATATTCAACGACGAGGCTAAACTTCATAATTATACACCTTATCCTAAAATCATTCATGGCTATTCTCTAATTGGCATTATTGTTAATTTGTGCCAGAAGAAAGCGCTGCCTATCAGGCAAAAACCACTAGAGCTAACCCCAAGCCCGACGAAAACCAGAGCCTATCCCAGAAAATGTCTCTAAATGCCACTCTGGACCTAGACGTAAAAAAACTGTACCCTTCATATGAAATGGCACGTTCCCCGCTTAGAAAATGTAGCTAGGGAATCCATCCTTACGTTTATTCTGAAAATCGGTGTGTATATTAGCAGTATTAGGAAATACTCGATATCAATTGCGCAAAGTATTTTGGCATTACTTATCAATTCACAGTTCCTTCCAACAATGTTATAATAAGGACATGCACAGGTGTAGTTAGTCCTTTTATCTTTTGCGGTGCATTCTCCGCCATTTTGACAAGGGTTTGGCGAACAGGCAGTCTAGAAATACAATCAATATCAAATCAATAACGCATGAAACTCCAGTGGGTCTGTCCTCAACGGTTTGACCGATGAGACTGCAACCTCTAGTTTCCTATGGCATTCCTGTTAGYTCTTTCAATAGCTCACAGGACAAGTTGAAATATGATAAAGAATTATACCGTTGATAACACAAATGCCAGATGTTCTTCATATTACAAAGTTGCTAAGTTTAATTAATAAGTCGAATCTTGGCAAAAACGTATAATTACCAACTGCAAAATGTAATTCTTTTTTTTTATATGATTAAGTTGTATGCCGACTCTTTCACGAGAAAGTCTATTTTACTAACCTTCATTTGCATAAACTTGGAACTGATTTTCGGCACGAGATATTTTCCAAACCCAGTGCCTGCCCAGCTCAGCAACTCACAACGAAGACTTGTTTGGTCCACAGTGATGACATTCACAGACAAACAATTCTCGTTTTGTACGCACCTGAAGCAACATTCCTTTTTGCTTTTGGTAGTTTCAGTTAGCAAAAGAGTTCCTTGTTTCGAGAAGAACTTTCCATCTGCACTTTCATGAAAGTTTTGAATGACGATATTATCATTAACATTATCAAGGTTTATCAGAGATTGAATGGTTTCAAAAGTACAAAACCATAGAAAAAAGTAAAGAAAGGAGTGTAGGAACGCCATGTTATCCTTAAAAATTGACCTGCGATTTTTAAACTGATCTCAATTAAATTGTCCAATATATACTCTCRCAAAGTAGAGCATATCAAAGATTAATTTCTTCAACAACCAATAGTGCGAGTCCACTTCACCCAAAATCGTCCCMAAAGATTTTTCACAAAGATCAGTTTTCACACGACATCATGATGTTTCAGCTCTCGTAGAGTGTCACATAAGTATAGTCACTTCTCTTTTGACTTTTTTAAGGCGATGCTACGAAGAAACTGGCCAAAAAAATGCCCCCCACGCATTAATATGACTAATATTGTAGTGGATAATTTGACTAATTGTGAATTATAATAATTCTTTTCTGKAATTAATTCTTTTCTGGATCTGCAGGGCATCACTATATTAATAGCATAAAATTGTTAATGTAAAAAAAATATCTATGCGAATTTTTCATAATCCATATCGAATAAAATTGAAACAAAGAACTAAAAGAAAAAAAATGAATGAAGCAGATCGACCAAGCTGGGATAGACCTAATCGCCACGCGTTGTTATAAACGTTTCCATCCAATTCAARCCACCCGGGAGTAAGTTTCATTGTTCGTTATATTTTCATTTCATAGTTGAATTCTTTTAAAAAGACAAAAGTTCTTCTTCCCACAGGATTTGAGTTCAGGGTGCTAACGTAAAGCAACACATTAGCCGAATGGGTCTATTCGAACCCCGGACCAAAAGTTTCGAAAACAATTGGGACGATATCCCAAGACATTCTGTGAAGCTGAGGCGTCGAATCGATTTACATTCCGGTTAGAGATTTCGGCTCTTCCGTGCTATCCCGATAATTGGTCACTAACTTCGCCTAACTAACTTCGCTGTGATTGGCTACTCTACTAATGGTCTAATTTGTGATAGACCACTTGCGAGAAAATCAAAATAGATAAATTATAAATTATTTTAAGGATATTTCAATTTGTTTTCATTATTTGACCGATTAGTATGTTTATACTAAAACAATTAGACCTCTCGGCTTCGTGGGCTACGAGCTAATAGCCCATTCGGCCTCGCGGACTCGGCCTCATGGGCTATTAGCTCGTAGTCCACTCGACCTCGAGGTCTAATTGAAAATAGTGTCAAATTGGGGTAGTCTCTTCGGTGAAAGTGTCAAGGGGTAAATGACGTCTCGGTGGTCCTGTAGTCCATGCGGCTAAAGCACAGGCAACCCAAAAATAGCTCTAAATCCCTTCAAAACCACACACAGCAATGTTAAATAACAGCAACGACACATGAGATTAAGGTAAGATGATTTTATTAATTTTTTTTATTATTATTATTTCCATACTGCTTGACAGTAAAGTTCAAATTCTCTGCTTGGGTTGCCTGTGGCTAAAGGTGATGCATTCGGAAATTTTATTTTTGCTTCTCATTCTTTCGTTTTTTTCTTTTTTCTTTTTTGTTTTTTGCTTTTTTCTTTTCTTTTCTTTTCTTTTGTTTTCTTTTTTTGTTTGTTTTGAAATCTTACTTTCTTTCCCAATAAAATTTCATGAGTTTTAGGGTTTTTGTACATGCAAACTTTCAATAAAAAAATTGCATTTTTTATCTTGATTCCTTGTCCAAAACATCCTTAAAAGGATTATGTTCCATTATATTTGGTTTATAGTTGTAGTTTTAACAATGGGATAAATAAAGTAGTAGCCCGAGTAAAAATCTAACCTTACTCGTGCATGCTGGGTAATCTTTATCCTTACTAAGGGAGGYCTAGGGCTTTCTTGTTCAAATGCTGGAAGCCTCCATATTTGTGGCTGCCGTCAAATACGTACGTGCAACAAGATTTAGCGGTTAAAAATACAATTTAATTGTTCGGTTGGTATCTGCAATRCAGTGAAGAATTCTTCGATATATCAAAGCTGTATTTCAACTGTGTGAAAATGGCATAAAAGGTAAGAACTATATCATTCGCTTGAAAACTCTCTTGCCGGTGATAAAAGCCAGATACTGCCATCATTTTAATTCAGCATGGAATACGTAGGTTAATCTTTATGTGAGCTTAATTCTAGTATTTTTGATGAAAACATCCTGGTTCAAATTGTTTGTATCTGCAGGATAAACAAGATTCTTCGAAACAAATTCAAAATACCACAAGAACTAAATTGGTTTTCATCGACGTTTGCTCTCGTCCTTGTCGGAACTGTAAGCTTAAATGGATTCTCGCTTCACCGGATTCGTATTAATCCAACATTATGGGTAAGATATTCGTCTTATTTTTACTTCATTTTTCTTTTATTTATTTGTAGTTTAGTATTTACGGTATAAGACAAAGCGAAAGGTTCTAGAATGTCACGTATCATCTATGCATGGCTCGATAAGTCAATGAAGTGTTTGATATTCCTTGTAACATTGACGTTCGATAATTATTATTTTATGACCAGACATCTGCGCAGAGATTGTTGTGTTTTGGAATCCGCTGTAAGCGTTATATTGCTACCAGAGAAATTCCGCTTGAAATACATGAAAGGTTTCAAAGATGTCACAGATCTTGCTCGATCAAATCAGCCGTATGCCCAAAATAGCTTAGTGCATAATTTTCATTCAAAATTAGAAAATCTTAATTGCTTACAGTTAAATGATTAAACTCATTATTCACACAATATAGATCGAGTTTTAAATAGTTTTCCCTTTCCGATAAATGTTATTTGTTTGTATATAAAATGCAAGGGATGTCTTTGTTTTTTTTAGTATGTTCTAGGCTATAAAAAGCATGATGTTGTTTTGAAATGTACACGTACATAAGCATSCTTAATATCAAAAATATTACGATATATATGATAAAAGTTTTCATCTCATATCAAATCRAAAAAAAAATTTGAATGAATTTTTAAAAATTTCTTGATTTCTTCTTCACTCCYACAATAAAAATATATCAAGTCTTAATTTTATAAACACAATGCAAATGTACATTATGATGATACATGTAACTAGTAWAATAATATTGAGCTACAGTATATATTTTCTATGTTCAAGCCACTACATATTCATCTGTAGAGCAGATTACGTGCACCTCAATAACATATATGGACAATGTTGTTGAAGTAACTGACATAATCTTGTTCAAAAAAAAGAAAGTGAAACTGTGAAGCTTTGATATAAAAACATTTGCAATAATTTTAAATGACCGTTTTCAATATATTTTAGTTGTGWAGTGACGTTTTTGTTACATATTATACTTGTTGTGAATGAAATCTGCATTTAGTATGTGAATGACTCATTTGTAAACAGTGATATTCATAGCTACTGACACCACATGTATTCTACCACCCTTTGGTGGCCATTGATCAGGCTTTGTTTGTACTAAATCATGTGTTGCTGTACCAACTTCCAATTGTCAAAACCTGCAACAAATATCTTGTTGTTTAATGAGCACAAATAGAAAAAAGACTTTATACCAGTTTGTACAATATTCATTGAGTAAATACCCCCTAGGTATAAAATCCAAATCTACTTTCGCTATTTGCCACTACAGAGTTTCATTATTCACAGAACCATTGAACTATAACATAAGCACTGTAGGAGTCATGGTCATTAAAAAAGTATTTACAGTTCAAAGAAAAAAAATATGAATTTTGGTAACATATTTACTGTACAAATGTCCAAATTATGATTTACAGTTAGAATCCAACTAGAATTTTGTATTCAAATTTGCATCCTYAGGCTTTTGAAGTCCCTCATTATTCAAACTTATGTGTTGTCTGTCCAATATTTGCATAAAGTGTCTAGAAATAGCAATATTGTATGGCTGTATTCAAGTAAACAAAATATAACTGCAGAAATTGCTACATGTCTTCATGCATATTGTCCAAGTTTTATTCTTTCATGCAATGCAATTTACTATTGAAACATGAAAACAATGGTTTTCATCATTTCCTCTCCGTGCTAGTTGAGCTTCAAAGCTCAGAAGTAAGGGACTAGAAAGAGAAACAGTTCAAGAAAGATGTTGGGTACACTATAACGAGTKAACAAGGTTCTGTTTAATGTCTTTTCACTTGGTTTGCATTTGCATTATAATAGAAGCACGAGACATATTGACTTTTTATATTAATTTTTTCATGATTATGACAGTATTTGTATAATAACTTGTGAAACCTTGCTTAGATACATGTAGATGTAGATATTGTGTCAGAACCACATCAATTTGTATTATTTGTCTTAGCTTCACATGTCAAATAGATAGGCTAATTGAAGCTATATGAATAATAAGTATTAAATAAATGATGCTTTGAATAATGTTATCTTAATAAGATCCCATAATATCTAAGTCCAAAGTAGGTTACTCAAGAAGCTGTCTATCTGGTTTAAGTTTTGCTAAATTTGCTTGCACCTGTAATGAAAATTGATATGAGATGTAGTATTACAAAATTATTGTAGTGTATTTGTGTAAGCTTGGTCTTGGAAAATAACTGCAAGAGGAAGACACAATGACAYAAAGTGTCACATGGTTAATAACAAATTGATGTTTGGAGCCACAGAGGAGCTAATGCTGACACAGACCATGGTGCTTTTGTACTCAACCTGCTATAATGCTATCATTAGCCTAATTATTAACGCTAATATTTAGTTTTTTCATATATTGTATTACAAATTATTGATTTTTACTTACTTACTGAGAATTAATTAAGAAATGTGGCAATCCTAGGAATAGATTAAATGAAAATACTGTAGTGCAACTACTTTTAGCCATATTTTGTTTGTGACTGGCAAAGTTGAATCAATTCTGGTTTAATGGCTTTTGATGCCTTCCTTTTCTTCTAAGCCTGACATACATGTATGAGCCAAAGTACTCTCACTTAAAATTCATCTTAAATACAGACAGGTCTTCCTTCAATAGTTATTTGAGTGTCATTTTATTTAGTTTAAAGCACTCAAGTGGATGTTTCCCAAGACTCTATTCAACACATAGGACATTGAACACATTTTTGATAATTCAAGTTTTGTACATTATTATGATATTCTGCAATCTATATAATTGTTATGATATATTTGTGGCACTTTGTTTATTAAGCATGACTTGGCTGTAAATAATTCAGGTTTCTTAAAGAAGGTACAAAATGGACATGTAAAAGTTTTACTTTTATTATTCACATTGAAAATTACTGATAATTGATAATTTTACAATCATTCAGATGATCTGAGTGACATGGAAAGTGGATATCTCAGCCCTGGAAATGACAATACCTTGACACAACTCACTCTTACTTCAACAAACTTGCAGCATGGCTTTATCAGCCCACAGCCTAAGGTAAGACATTTTATTCTGTATTTTTGGCTAGTTAAAATAAGTAATCGAATGTATTAGGAATATCATTGAAATTTAGTTCTAATGACCTGAGCAGGGTATTTTGTATGCTAATTGATTTATCTCAATGCCAAATTCAGAGTAAACAGAGGTTGCTCATTCATATTATGCATCGTTTGTTTGTTCTTGTTATCTGACCTAATTTGCATTGAATTCAATGCAAGCAAATAAACCCTAAAGAAAATGAGTCCAATTTAGTTGTCTGGAAAAATACAAATGGATGCAAACTGGATAGTGAGTGCAAATTAAGATAAGTGTATGTAAGGTAATGATAATTTTAAAACTGACTTGTGTAATATTATTATCTTAATTGCACAGAACGACATTAGAGTTAAGTTTGAGTTTCAAGGCGAAAGAAGGTAAGTATCAGTAGAATTCCACTCAAGAGATCAATTTATTAGTTAAATATGATGATAAATACTAGTATTTTATAATTCAAATAAAAAGTAGGTTTATTCATAAAAATACTTRTTGTTGTTGTGTAAAATGGTTTTTATTGTGATCTAAGGATTGTCCCAGTTTCCAGACCTGTGATACTAACAGACCTTCAGCAAAAAGTCAAGACTGCTTATGGTCATGAATTATGTATGAACTATATCAATGATGAGGTAGGCTACTGGGAGCATTATATTATTATAAGCAGTTAATGACAACACTACAAACTTGAATCTTTGGACAGAGTCAGAAACCAAGCTATTTTGTTCAGCTCTATTCTATTCAAATTTCTAGAGAGAAATTCAGAATTTGAAATTATTAGAAAGTTGTTGAAAAGCACAGGAAAAGTGTCACTCCTCAGGCCTTAATTTCAAAAAATCCATAAACTCTATTCTTTCCTCTCTTGATTTCACCTTTACATTTGATATCTTTTTTAAAATTTATGTGATCGTTTTTTAGATAACAATTCCAATTGTCAACCAGTCTGACCTTGAGAAAGCAATAGAGATACTTGACAGAAGTCCRCATCTTTCAAGCCTGAGAGTATTTCTTACGATGCCAAATGGTGTTGTCAATAGGAATAAGACTTCAACTCACTCTAGACGAATGATGGTAGAGGCTCTAATCCCAGCTCCACCAAACCCTAAAGTAGGRTCATTGTTTGGTCGTAGTCTTGGTGTAAGTTTGAGTCCTGAAAACATTGATAAAAAGCTTTTAAAAGCTTTCAGTTTTAGTTGGTTCCTGCATAACATGTCTGTAAATTTTTGTTCAACAGAGACGATCTCGTTCTAAGCCAACAAGTTATGGACTTGGATCAAGGTATGCTTTAAGATAGTTAAGTGTTAAAAAAACRTTGTCTACACAAGCATTTTATGTGAAAACTGTTTGTTTGCAGGTTTTCAATTGTTTGTGTAGGCAATGAAAAGTGCCATGACAACTAAATAATTRCAGCTTAGAGCTCTATACAGTATTYGCCTCTATGCAGAGAAGACAAATTCTCTCCACTTTTAGAGTATATTATGTAGATTACAACATCATGTTTCAAGAATCTAACTCAAGTTTTATACAGCTTTCTCTTTACAAGGTCACAGTCTACACCAGATGAGATTGCCAACATGATTGAGGACACACCAAGTACTCCAACCCTGGCCTGTTATCAACCAGTACAGTACATGTCAACAAACGACATTCACACTAAAGGAAGAGACTCGCCACCCCCTGGATTCCATCCCGACTCGGCTTCATTTGTACCGAGAAGACCTCACCCATTTATAAGGGTAGGTAAACTTTGAAGTTGAAAAGGCAATGCATTTCAAGTACATGTATTTATCATGGAATAACAACGTCCACTTGAATTCATATTCATCAATGAGGAAGCATCCTAGCCTATATATGGTGTACTTATAGCTACATAATATGTGTTTATAAGAAATGCCTTTGTAAGATACATCTCTGTGGTTTAAAAACCTTTGTAACATTGTTACATTTTTAAGATATTGTTAAATGAAATGCACTCTCATTCACTCTATCTGGTGTTATTTGTTTAGAGTGAAGGCGAATTTATCCCTGARGGTTATGCTTCAAACAGTGAGGTAACACAAAGAATGCATTTTTATCATTTTTACAAATAATATTAAAAGTGTTACTTGACATACATGTATCTGCAGCACTTCATTTTGTCTTTCAAAACTGTGGTACTGTTGACTTGAATAACACATCTTTCCAGTTTTTGGCTCAAAAGATCATTTGATTWGATACTAAATTTAGAGGTTTTAGTTTAACAACTGTAAAATATATTGTTTTGTTCTTGTTTAGATGGTACATCGCCATGTTAGAATATTCAACCCTTTATCGCACAGTGAAGTAAGTTAACGTTTTGATAATGATGTCTCGTTTTTTAACCTTTAATGATATGGCTATGGTTAAGGTTCGAGTTGTGTCAAGTCCAAGTTCAGAAGGATCATTGACTGGCTCCTCGTCATCCCTTAATGGGACATTTTCATTCGGCAGGTGGGTGGATATTTATATTGACTTGTAGCAAATGGGTCATTGCATRTGATACATTCAGAAACACTTTCACAGGTAGTTTTATTGATGTCCACTTGTTTGATTATATCAACTTATTGGTGATATTATTCCTATTCTTCTAATAGTGCTGGTGAAGTKTACTCGTTTTCACGGACGGCACGAAGGACTTACTCAAACAGCTCCCTTAATTCAGGAGGGATGTTTTCATCCGGTGAGAAAAAARCAAWGTATTTCGATGTAAAAAATAAATTTAATGTTACCAACGTATTCCTTGTCAATGCAGAGGAGGACATGTTGGAYGGCAAGGCTGATACTTTCCCACGACGACGACAGACATTTAGTGGGTCTATATCAGATATAAATGACGGTAAGGTCAAGTATTAATTTAGGTCTTTACCAGACAGTGACTGACCTGTCTGACTGATTACTGTAATTTCTTGRTGAAGCATTTATATTGATTGAAAGCGGTATATTGTTTCTTTTGTGCCAGGTCATCAAACRTTCCCAAGATTTCAAAGTCTTACAACACGCAAGCCTATTCCAGCGTCAATGAGATCTGATATGTCATCACAACAAAGTCTTGCGAGTACCAGTAGCAGCAGTAGTGGGATGATGGCGGACATAGAGGGTGGATACCGCAGACCTAGACGGGAATCGGAACCAGGCTTGTATTCCTCCAACATGGACCATAAAATTCCAAGTATGTGATGTGTTATTTAGTCAAGAAATACACCTTTTACATTATATTCATGATGATAATGGTGATGGCGGTGGCGGTGATGATGATGATGATGATGATGACGACGACAATGATGATGATGATGATGATGATGATGATAATGATTGGTGATGACAATACTGGTGGCATGGAAGAATGACTGACATTTAGCTAACATTGTTAGCACAACTGTTCACATTATTTGTTAAAAGACATATATTTTTTGATTCCTATCACAGCAACTCAATTCCCCAACAATTGGCGAAAGGGAAAACTATTAGGGGCTGGTGCATTCGGACAAGTTTACATGTGTCATGATTTAGACACAGGTCGCGAACTCGCAGTCAAACAAATCGAGACTGGACTTTTAAATAACTCGACCAAAAACGTAAGTTTCGTTGAATTTACAAGAATTCTCGTAATCACTTCATGTAGTTGCCATAAAATGTTTAACTAATTGTTTTTTGTTTTTTTGTTTGTTTTTTTTTTGTTCTGTAGGAGGTGCGCGCTTTGGAAGGTGAGATTGAATTTATGAAGAATTTTAGACATGAGCGAATAGTRCAATATTATGGTATGGAGACTACAGATCTTCATATCTATATCTTCATGGAGTTTCTACCTGGGGTGAGTATGTTATCACTTTAAGCCACTCATGGGAATTGAAATCGGTGGGGGAAATACCGGGAAATGAAATATCGTCTATCCGAACAAATTGAGTCCAGAAATGTTGGACTAGCTTTTCCTTAGAATTGCTTTAGCCAAAGGTTAAAAAGAGTCTTATTATTATTTTAGACATTAGCGTTTAATAGTTTAAATGTTGGGACAAAAAATAACCTCGAAAACGCCTGTTCTGACGCCTGTACCTGTTTTGAACTTGTACTTCGAAAAGTCTGCAATTTTACCTGAGGTCTGACAAAGTAGAAAAGGCCTTAAAAAGCGCCATCATGCCAATACTTACAATTCTATGTTTGTGTTTTAGTCATCAGTTCACGACCACATCAAGCAACATGGAGCTTTGAATGAAAGTTTGACGAGAAAATACACAAGACAAATCGTAGAAGGAGTTTGTTACCTTCAYTCGAACAGAATTGTACACAGAGATATCAAAGGTAAAACTTGTTCAGATATCATTTTTCTTGTCTTTGAAGTAACTAGCATGCCAATGAGTCATGCTGGAAAGACTCAATAAAGCTTGCGAGAGTATGGGCAAAGGGTAAAATGCATACTGTATGTCTTTAGCTGTGAGTATAATTGCTTCTTTACTAACTGCCTGGAATGATTGTTCGTTTCACAGGAGCCAATATCCTTAGAGATATTAACGGCAATATAAAACTGGCAGATTTTGGAGCTTCAAAACGTCTACAGGTATYTACAATCAGCACCCAGATATTTATGGGATTTTATTATTAAGGCGTTCTGGTATATAATATATGATTGTGTGTTTATTTTAAGACTATTAGAAGCAAGACAGGATTCCGTTCCGTACATGGAACTCCATACTGGATGGCGCCTGAAGTCATCAATGGCGAGGGCTATGGAAGGAAAGCCGATGTCTGGTAAGACKTCTTTAGAATATCAATACGGTTGACACGATCAGCGCCGACAAAAAAAAACCTTTTTATCATTTTTCCTATAGGAGCATTGGATGCACAGTTGTGGAAATGTTAACTACAAAGCCTCCATGGGCAAACCTAGAACCAATGGCTGCTTTGTTTAAAATAGCTACACAAGCTACAGAACCTGACCTCCCTCAGGAATCTACAAAAGACACCGTGGAATTTGTACGAGCAATCTTAGTAAGGTATGRAAATGGTTGAGCACAGAGACTTTCTTTATTTCATCAACTAAGTGCATTGATTTACTCAKTYCGACRTTAAAMAGGTAGAGAAACCAAAAGCTTAATTTTCACCTTCTTCTTCATTTTAGAGAGTCACAAGCAAGACCATCAGCAGACGATCTTTTACTCTTTTCCTTCATATACAACTGCCCTCTATCAACTTGCTTATAGCCTGAAAGCATTGGGCTTACTCTGTACAGTTCAACTTCCTTCTTTCGAAGGCTTATAGCTAATGATTTCAACAGCATTCTACTATAAAGTACAGGATTTTTCATCGAGCATGGTACAATTAATACCAAAGGCATCGATGGTTTTCAGATCGTATTATACMTCGCTGATATCTAAATAAGTCCTTGCATGAAGTCATCTTGGCTTAGAACTCCGTCAACTCTAGAATTGATCATCGATTCTCTCATCATTTCGCTTATGAAGRTGGAAGAAACATTATTTTTTGGCAATATTTTGCTGGTAATTTGATATTATGCAGTTGAGTGTATTTAAATTTCTTTCRAAACCTCTGCAGGATAAGACCAGTGCAATGTGAACACAATATTATAAGACATTGAACAGCAATTTCATAGAACCGGTTGTATTTACAAGCAATTCCGCCGGATAAAATTACGATAGATATGTTTAACAATGAAGTTAAACAAGAAGGAACTTTGGCCTTGAAAATGTTAGATTAGATAAATATATCAATKCCTGATTTCCACATTTCTAATCTGCATTGCGTTCACAGAAAGCCAAGAAAGTGGCAATGAAATAGTTTCACGGATTTATGAATTGAACGTTATGACGTCACCGAGTTGTGAACAAATTGCATTGTAAAAAAAAGAACATTTTTTGTAATTTGCTATAGATTTAATAATATTAAATTAATTTGTTTAAATTATTCAAATGTAATACCATTTTATTTAAAATGATTAGATAGAAGCCAAGGGTTATTTTTGTAAATATTTTTTTCTTGCCCAAATGAAACGAATTCCATCATTTGAAAATATGATATATTGTAGATACTCATTTTAATTGTAGATAAATTCCATTTTTTGTAATTAAAGTATATGCCAAAATCAGAGCAGTCGTCCATTTATTTCAGTCTTATTTACTTTAGTGACTGTTACGGTGTTTTACAAATCATAGCAACTAATAGCAATTTTCAATAGAGGGAAGTCARAAAACCGTTAAAAAGATATTACACTTATACACCTTAGTACACTCTAATAGGCAATGTGAAGAGACGCCATTTTGTGCAGCAAAGGATGATGGTAGTTGTAGTCCTCTCACTTTTTTATGCCCGCAAAATAGTCCTCGTTTTTGCTTTATCTAAGCGAAAATAGCAGTATTTGTGCCTTTTCTAAAAAGAATATGTAAAACCGGCTTCTAACAAAAATATTTTAGGGGTATGAAAAGTGCGAGGACTACGTCTACCATACCATAATGCTTTGCTGCATAAAATGGCRTCGCTGAACATTGCCTTTCCTTTTGAGYGTATTTGAATATSACATTTAAATCGTCAAATTTTGTTTCGCGGGCTTAATGTCTTCACTCTAGTTTCGAATCATCTTTCATATAATGAAAATAATATTTTATGCGTTATAGGTCTTGCTAGTGTGTTTAATAGCTTAGAAATAGTTATTTTTCTGTACGCGAAACCACTAAATGCCGAGCTAAACTAGAATAAATGTAACGTGCTGCCGTTAGATCACTCGCGGTACGTTTTGGTAAGTCGGCCGATGCCAGGGTTTTCTCTGACTGCCGCCATTTTGAAAAAAAAGTGAGAAGAGAAACCCTGGGAACGAGGTTGAATGCCATGGATACCAACTGAAGACACTGTCATAACTATAACAATGTTATCCTACATGTTATTAGTGCACTTATTTTTAGCCTCCCATTCTCCCTTTCAGATTTAGCTTCAATGCTGCTATAATCGTTTTGAACTCATGTTCTTAGTGTCGATTAGAAGTTTGATATCAGATGACGAAGGCCTACGGTTTGTCACGATGAGAATCATCTACAGAACAACGCAATCAAATTTGAACTTCTTTATGCTCTGTCAAAAAAGCTAATAGTTCAAGCGTGAAGATTGTACTCAATTGAATTCYAAAGTCAAAAAGAAAAGTAATTTAATCCTAATTTTGACTGTCGGCACGCCATTAGTATTGTCATATTGACCATATTGAACAAAGCAATATCTGGACAGACAAWGAGAGCAATTGACTGGATCCTACTCATTAYAAATGGACGTCAAAATCTTATTAGGTTGGCTTTATGGATATTCACTAACTCGCTATGACATCAAAGTACTGGCTATCTTGAGAGGGCAAAATGGAGACTATTTTTGTTAGAAGAAGYCCCGATTCAGTTATGGAATGGACAGCTGAAGACGTTGCAGATTGGTTGAAGCAGCTTCAACTCGACAAATATTGTAAAAGATTTCAAAGTAAGTGCGGTATATACTAACATTGTCTTACAGTATATTATCGCAAATCATCTTAGGAGACACTCAGGGTCTAATGCTCAACTAGCTATGTATATACAGGCCTTTTTCAGCGTGGTATGTTGTCTGAACTCTGATAAGAATTATATTGCTGTCATGTTTTCTAAAAACTAGAAACAGTTTTGGAAGAGTTTTGTTTATTGGTAATATGAACTTAAGTAATCGCCACATGAAGGTTGTGTCTATACCTAAAGGGGCAGTGCATTTGGTTGAAAACTGAATTCACCATCACGAAACGCCTGATAACAGTTCCAACAATTTAGTATGTCTATGAAAATTATTTTCCATACGTTTTATGAAATTAAGATTTAATCTTACAGAAAGGTAGCCATCTGGATACATATTATTGATATTGGACCAGCCGATWAGTGATAAGATTCATATTAGCGAACCAAGCAATTTAAGTGTAACCATGAAACATTGAAAARGMTSTTAGTTCAGAAMACTAAGCTTTGGGAAATTTTKTAGCTAAGAGAAGATCGATTTTTCTTGCAGGTCATCTGGTGACTGGTCCCGTTATTTTACAAATGGATGACTTGCTTCTAGGTATGACGCAGTAAATGCAATGGTTTGCTTTGCATGTTTAGATGTGTTTATTTATCATATCATTGATATTTGGCCAT